TTGTAAGTATAGCGCCAAATTCACTTCAAACCGAAATAACATATATAGGATCGTCTGTTTTCTATCTGTATCTATCTTTGTTGTTAGACTTACTGAGCAGAGTCGGCGTCTCCTCGTCACTCTCATAGCTGCACTCATACAAAGCAAACTTCCTAGGATTGTCAGCAACCCGAAATTTACGCAGCAAAGTCACAATCATCTGCCTAAAAGAACATATTTCGAACGAACATCTCTATTCACGCACATTTCAAATAGTGGGCGGACTCTCAAGCCCAGTTAAGCTGCGTGGGCAACCATAAATGGACTTGATGTGCTTAGGTTTCCCCAGTACATGCTGGCGGTGCCCACGCAAGCCGGCAGAGCTTTTTAGGATTCCCCACGCTGCGCCAGGGATATTGATCCTTGGCGCCAATGTGTACAGAATAGCCGTACGTCTCCTAGAAGCCCTCAATCGATTGCGAACGACTTCTCGCTCTCGTCTTTGAGGCGCAAGTTCTCGTTGCTCATTTACCTTGTCGTCATTGTGCTGTTGATGTTGATAGTTTTCACTGTGTTCCTCGGCAAAAAGAATGACGTTATCGTCCGTAGTGAAGATGTCGAAGATTTCCCTGAATGAATTGACTTGAAAAGGTGGAAAAGATCCTCAACAACGTTTCATTTTCTGCTTGCGACTCTGACGAGAGGTGGCTAATTTTTGCGAAAGCAAAGGACAATCTCATCATTTTTTTCGAATTTTATCCCATTTTATCGAAGAGATACGCTGACATGAATGGAAAAGATGGCAGAAGCTTAGACAAAGTATTCAGTGAGCTTATACATGAGGTAACAATTTTGCCATACTTTATCTCAGATGCACCTTGTTTACTTTTTTGTCATGCATAGCTATTTGGCAGCGTATCGATCTTTTTGAAAACAAGCACATAGCGGAAGAATTGCCTTTCTGTTGCTACAAAATCATTGTTTTCTTGTGAGATTTGGAAAAAGTATAAGGCCGGCGCCTAGCATGGCTGTCTGCTTTATGCTAGCGCGAATGTTCATGCGTTCATGACCAATAATTTCTACTAATTTATGCTCTCGTAAGTACAACAAAAAGGGAAAACTGAGCCGAAAAGACCCATACGTATTTCTTACAGCACAACTGCAATTTGCGATTCAGACTTCAAATTGCGGTATTTCTCCGCGTATTCATTTTTTAAGATTCTCGAGGACAACATTTTTAGTGAAATAAGTGTGACACGAATTCTCGTCAATTTGAAGTCTAGATGAACCCTTATCCCCTTTCTGCTTTTTACATATCTTAAAGAAGAAGCATATAATCGAATCCTAAGTCAGATTGACTAAAAAAAGCTGTGATATAGGCTTCCTTACAAAAATATAATTTTCACAATGTTTGATGCTAATACTAATATTATCCGTCCGTTTTCAGATTACCTTACCCAAATGTTCTCTCCCGTACGTTCTATATATCTGCGAACTAAGCCTTGCAAAGAGTGGTTTATCAAAGGAACAGCTTCGATATTTAATAGACAACTTTTCTAGAACTGCACTACTCGCGTTTTTCTTTGTTTTTGCTGCGGGTTTGCAAATTGGCTATTATCGCGTGTTTAATGAGACTTTGAAAAACATAGTTACTGTAACTAGGCATGGCTAGAGACAAAAGTCCATTTAGATTATAGATGCTTAGAAAACAGTTTAGCACCTCAAAATTTCTATGTGACCGCTCTAATTCGCTTCAAATTGCATTCAGGAGGATATGCACATTTTATTTTGATTCAGGCAAATCGTTGGGCTTGTGATCGTAGTGAAAGTACAACGCCGAAGGCGATGCCCCAAGTGAACGGACGTCTAGAGGTTTGTTCTAATTCTACTTCTTTCCAAAGGAAAAACATTTGCCAGTAGCAAAGTACAACAACCACATGCCACATAAAGAAATTTTCCGCTTCCCGCCTCAGTTGATGACAATGCAGAAGAGGTCTAGTAAGACATTTTAAGGATAAAGACGACACCAATATCGATGTGTGCCTCGAGCAGTTGGCTCGAGCAATATCTGCCCATGTAACGGATATCCTTATGGAGCGGTTAGGACTGGAAGAAAGAAACGAACAGAAGGTGGAAGTAGCGCCAACAATGGATTTAAGTACAGTATCTACGATAGCACAGCCACCGTACCATGAACGACCGCAGCATTTGGGATTAAAGGTGCTGTCAGTGAACGTAATTGTTCAATGTTCAACTAGTGGAAGACACAAAAAAATGTGAGACATCAATGCTTACAGCCAACCACGTCACGTTCCGTGCCCAACACTGTACGATCCTTGCCACAAAGTCCTAATCCTACTCGAAAAATCACCCAAATGTCTCGACGAGATAATCATTTCAGTGAGTTTGCAACACTTAGAACTTCACTTTTATAGATAGCAAATACATATTTAATGTTATTGCTTTTGATGAAGTGAAAAATTAGTCAGCCAACCTTACAAGGGGCAAAATGATGCAACTCATTAGCGGAAAAGGACTGCAGATCATACAACAAAATTATTCTATACTACTAGGACTACAATTAGAATTTTGCAAAATTATGACGTACTTTCTATAAGCTGTGGCTTCAAAGTACAAAAAGGTAGGAAAAAGAAAGGCCTGTTCATTCAGTAATTTCTAAAAATTTTAGAATGCGCTCTGCGCTGCAAATATTTTTATTAGTGAACGGAGGAATTTTCAGGTTTAAAATGAAATGTGATGAATCTTTTGCAAGTATTTCTTATCTGATTCCTTGTAAAGTAATGAGCTTAGATTGCCGCGTAGGATGCGCGTCAGAGACTACTCACTTCCACTCTTTTTAGATAATCATTAGAGATGGAACTAGATATTTTGAAAACTAATTTGAGTCGAACTTCTTCTAATTCCAAACGAAGCTACAACTGGCTCTTCTTGCTAGTCGAGATCCAGCCGCGCTGTGGGCGACGCTGATCAGCAGAGGAACTAACACCAGCTGGGTGACCGCTTCCCCGCCCCT